CGCAAGGGTTGGCTTGAAATTTGCCCGCACATGGAAATCCTTCGAGGAAATGGTGGAGTGGAAATTCCGCGACCGTCGTGATAGGAGCAGCGGTCCATCCGCAGAGACGGCCATGGCTCACTTCCCAAAAGACGGTCATCCAGTCGGATACGAGAACTGGACGGATTATTACCCGCTCTTTATCCTTCGTGCGTTTCAGACGCACATTGGCCCAGAGAAGAACATAATTGAGATCTACGGTAAACCAATATCAGCCGGGAGCAACCCCTGCTGCTTCGATTGGAGCAGCGTCATTGCTATTCGTTGCGTAGGGGGACACAGCTCGGTCAACCCACGCTCCCAGCCATGGAATATGGGCTGGGAAAGCCTACGCTGGACCGACGTAAAATACCTCCATCACGGCACATCTTCCCGCGCTTGGAGCAGCATTATGGAAATGGGAATCATCCCTGGATACAGAGATCCGTCTCGGAGAGACAGGAAGCATCACGAGGAGCCGCGCGCAGAGGCATTCTACAGTTCGAGCACGTACATAAGGGGTGCGCAGCCTAATCCTCACACATTTGTCACACCATACAAATTCAATCGTTATAAAAATGAGGTGGAGATCGTGGTTGACATGCATATTGCCACGCAATCTGGATGCATAGTTTGGCTTGGAGCGCAAGGCGCCATCATGACCGAGGACGCGGTCCCTTCTGCTGCAATTATTGCTGCTCGCCGTTGCAATGGGGACCGCGATTGTGGCAAACAGTTGTGGCTTTCAAAAGGCCCAATCTGGGACTACCCACCTGTGGGGCGCCAGCGAGCACCAGTCAGCAAGTGCGAGATTTGCGCTCCGCCTCGGCAGCAATCACGAAAGGAACGCGTTGTCCAGGAATTTGAGGCTGAAGTGATCGCCGATCCTCCTGGGATTGCTCCGCCATCGCCGTCTGGCGCACGCCAACCTGCGCGGGCGGCAACGCCTGCTGCAAAGGCTTATACTGCGGCTTACTCGCCACAGCCTCTGCAGCAGATACAGACAGCCCAGATCAGTGGTTCTGGGTCCGCTTCTGCGTCATCGGCACAGCAACCCCTCGCTCCCTCGCCGGGGGTGGCCCCTGCTGGCCTTGCCGCAGCGACAGCAGCGCTCATTCATTCGGCAGATGAGTTTGCCGACCCCGACGCCTTTGACGAAGAAGCCATTATCCGTGCCATGGTTGGCAGGAGCATACACAACGACCAGGACACTAATTGGTTACTCTCAATGTCATGCTGCAGGGCGGCTCTCAGGCCCATCCCTGCAGAACTCACGCAGAGAGATTGGGATCGACGTCCTATCTTCAACGACGTTCGTGTCGGAGATTTCATCATCGTCAAAAATTGGGGCCAGCTCAACTGCTACCATTTTGATAACCACTACCCCAAGGGCGATTACAGCACCAGAGTCCGCATGAACAAGGGCCACATCTACGACCCCGTCATACATTTCGGTGTCTTTGAGAAGTTCTTTGCGGTGGAGGTACCGATACTCAACTACGGTTTACGATGGGTAAACATCTGATACTGTGACAAAACAACTGCCCCTCAAGGGCATCGTTTACGCTATGCCAGTACGTACTGACAAAATTGCCGATGCCCACATGGAGGTGGCAACGAAAGGACCCTCATCATGCAGCGCCCAGATTGAGGAGTATGCTCAATCACGCGAGCTACCATACCTCGGAGTTCCGTCTATTCAACGAGTGCGTATCCCACGCACGCCACGCAGACACACCGCTCCTCGGACCCCAGGATCCGACCAGGAGCCGGTGGCAACACTCGCTGATGATTCCATGGAAATCGACGACGGCATTCGGCAACAGGTGGTGGACACCACCGCCGAGCACTCAACCATTGTCGTTGACGTTTCCGATGTGGTAGTGGGTGATGAACAAAAGGCCGCCAACGCCGCCATGGAGGCTGAGATGACAGCCGAGATTCAGGCATATCAGAACTCTTGGTACCTCCCTCTTCGAGAACATCATTGATCCGCCAGGGCATATCATTGCAGAAAAGGACTATTGCCCGCAATATATTAACAACTGGATACAAGCATCGGACAGCCATATGGTGTATTACCGGACCTCAGCACCGCTGATAGAGTCACCGATGTTCCAAATAAGCCAGGTAATCGAGGTACACGGCGGTCCCAGCATGTACATACAAGACAAGATCGAATCATGTCTGGGATTCCGGTTTCGATTTGGGACCGAATGAGCGATGTGCAAGATACATTACAACCATACCCATAACTGGGTACGGGATCTTCCATTAATACTCATCATCCAGCCCTCATAGCGCTTCGATCATGACCCCAAGGTTTCCCCGTATGGGAAGAGCCGGTGGCAACACTTGCTGCGCCTGGCCAGGATGATCCAGGCGCTGCAACTCAAGATGCTCCAGTTGAGATACCACAGGTTCCAGGCAGTATCGCCTCGGCGGCACCATATCAAATAATCGATGGTGCAGGTTTTTGCAGATCAGAAGAATATCGACCGCAATGAAGGCGACATTGAGACTACCCTGCAGGCTGAGGCCGCGCGTATCCGCGCGGACTTGGCCAGAACTTGCGGTCACCTAGGCGTGGCGGATATCGGATCCACTGACTACACTGGATTGCCTGGCGATCGCTTATCGCTGACCGAGATCGAGGGAATCGGACGATCGGTCGCTTCCCGAGCCAACGCAGAGCTCAATCGCGAGGCAATGAACCAGCTAGGTCATTCCCTTTCTTCAGGAGCCGGTGGCAACACCCGCTGGGGCAGCCTTGGGGATCTGGCTTCGTCCGGGGTCCCTGCGGACCTCCAGGAACTGCAGTCGTTTCCTGTCTCTGGGAGTTGTTACTGACGATGGCACCCTATGTGTCATATGCTGGCAATGCAGCACCTCTGTAGGTGCCGCAGGACAGGGTGGCGCTGAGGCTACCGACCTGGCGTACCTGGAGCTCAACCAATGGACCAGGAACAACTTGTCCAACAACGAAGTGGCCCGCCTCGTCTCCGACGGCGCGAGGATCTACTTCGCGGGGCAGCGTTCGGCGATCGCTACGCAGCGTAACAGATTGAGGATGACGAGGAGAGGTACAATAAGTGGTGCGCTGCGGGTTCCCCACCTGCAAGCGAATGCAGGCTCGTGGGCGAGCCCGATGACGACCGCCCATTGTACCACCCCTTCCGCAACGTCATTCAGCGTTTCCTCAATGAATCCCGATTCCACCACCAAATGACCGGAGCCCGTGAGGCTGTCGGTCAAGTGCCCTGGACCGTGGAGAACATGTGGGAGGCTTGCAGTATCCACCACCGCAGCCAAACACTTGGACTCGCCGGTCGTAGGAATTGGTAGTGGAATGAGGGTAGAACGGACAGAGGCACCAGGCAGGAACGCGGTCTTGTCACGATTGCCGTTCCCCGCGGGGACGGCACTTATGACAAGACCACGCGCCGTGCTCTTGCCAAAGCTGCCTCTGTCGGACCTGCCCTGGGATCAACAGGCCATGGGGGAAGGGTTCAGGGGTGGGAACCGATCCTGATACCACCCCCACACATACACCTTTTACACATGATGCCATGGTGCCGCCGCCTCGTGCCGCCCGCGGCGATGCTGCTGGAAGCCGCGCCTCTGGCGCGCTGGCAGCGATGCCCGCTGGGCGGTGCGGCGGCGCCGCTGTCGCCCCGCAGCCGAGCGGCTGGGGGCCAGCCGACAGCAGCGCTGGCGCCCGCTCACCTGCGACGCCCCCGCGGGCCAAGCGGGCGCGCGCCGCTGACGACTACGCGGCGCGGTGGCGCCAGCGCCTCGAGGGCAGCCTGTGGGGCCCCAGGTATTGGAGCTACCACAACGACTGCTGGATGTTCATCGTGGAAAACAACGATGAGTTCGTATACATCCGCGACCTGCAGTACAATCCTCGATTCCGCAATTGGCACCCAAGGACCACTTGGGCAACATGCATGACGAGCTTGATTGGAATCGACTGCCATCGTGTTTGGGCAAGTGAGTTCTGCATGCGTGGCAAAACCTAGTAACGTCGGCCGCAATGTCCACTGCTCGAGTTTGCTTGAACTTTGTCTGTGAAGAGTTCGCCTCGAGCAGTAAATACACGCACAACCTTTAGCCACTTCGCTAAGTACGACAAGTGGCTTCTTATATACATCTTGGTGAAATCCGACGCACGCTCCTTAGGGGCCTTGCCGATGGGAAGTAACCCATTGCAGAATTTGTTTATGTAGCTTTTCGTGTTTCTCAACACGACGCTGACTTCATTGTGATGGTTTGACCCTTCTGTGCGACAGCTCCCGTATTGCAGCCGAGGAAGCTTAGGGTATGATCTGATACCCAGCTTTAGTTTGATTGCTGGTGGCTACACCTGCTGTGTCTTAGATGCAGCAGGTTTTGATGTTGTTCTAGTTTGCCCAGATCCTCTTGCTCCGCTCGCCCGCGCCCCATTCCTCTCCACCCTCGAGTGCCGAGGCGTTTTTGGGAGGCGCATCGAGGGGCGCCAAAGTGTGTTCGGAAAGGATTATGGACACTTTGGGTGCTCCGTCGTCCTCGCCCTGCCCGTTCACACCAGCAGATGCGCTACATACTTTTGCGCACTGCTGATGTTCGGGGCGCAGCAGAGGCGCTACGTACTTTTGCGCCCTGCTGCTTGCGCATTTTAAGGAGTAAGAGGGTGACGGGTTCTTTCCTCCCTTTCCCGAGTCCTGTCCTTGCGGGCGGGATTCGGGGCGGGGCGTGCGAAATGAACCCGTATACTGGCCGTTTGGGCCCAGGTATTGGCGAAGATCAGGGCGCTGATCGCACGGGAGGAAGAGATCCCCATGTATCCCTCCTTCCTCTACCTGCGGATCAGGGGTTCTGTACTTTTGTACTCTAATCCCATGCGCAGCAATAGACCACGTGGCCAGTTGCCGTCTCCAGCTCGAGGAGCTCAAGAAGCATGCAGCCGCTGCAGCTGCCGCGCCGCTGATGCCTGCGGCGCCATGGCGGGCGCCAGCGCCGTCGACCCCGACCGGCAGCTTGCGCAGCGGGAGGGCATCGCCGCAGCGCTCGGCACTGCCGTGCCCGAGGAGGCCCGCCAGTCCAAGGCGCGCGCCGACGCCATCCGCGCCGAGCCCCCCCCCGCCGAGGAAGCAGGCGCAGGCGCAGGTGCCGCTGCCGAGCAGGCGCCCGCGGTGCCCGCGGCCGCCCAGGAGCCAAGCGCGGCCCAGGTGCCACTGGCTGCTCCTGCTGCCCCCGCTGCCCCTTCCGCCTCCTAATTGGGCTCTGTTCGCGGACCCCGACGGCCAGTTCTTCAAGGGGTTCTGCGCCGCCCAGGCTGAGGCCGTCGACGGCGGAGCAAGCGATGGGGGGCGACGCAGCCTTCGATGGCGCCAGCGCTAGCGGCCCTGTTTAGGCGCGGCGCTGGACAGGTCTCGACGGCTCTCTTCGAGGAACTCATCCGCTCCTCGCAGGGGCACCAGGGCGAGAAGGCACGTCCCAGCCTGCCCAGTTCCTAGCCCGCAGCGAGGTGACCACCGAGTGGGCCCGCGAGTGACCACCGAGTGGCCCCGCGTTCATGGGATTTTTATTGCGGTCAACGTCGCTGGGCGTTTTGGCTTGGAGTGCGTGCTAGAGGCACAACCGATCCTTGATTTGTCAGCAGTGCGCGTGCAGGAACACCATTGGGCGCAAGTGGAGGGCTGGGAAGCCCGACTTCGCACGATGAGCTGGGCTGCAAAGGGCCTCCCAGCCATTGTCACTGGACAGGGCGGCACAACTGGAGGCCTCTTCCACGCGGTGCCGAGGCGCGCTGGGCTGAACTCCCTGACCAGCCCATCTGCGTCGAGGGTCCCAGGGTCAGTATATTGCATTTTTCCGCGGTATGCCCTGCTGGATTGTTGTGGGTGGGTGTCTATCTGCATGACTCGCAGGCCGTGTCTCAGCTGAATTGGCATCTGCTCACTCAGTTAGGGCTGGTCTTCACCGGCACGGTTTGCCCTTCGCTGTTTCAGGAGATTGGAATCTCGCGCCAGAGGTGCCGCGGGACACAGGTCGGACTGAGTCGCAGCAGACCATGGTAATCGCACCGCTGACGCCTACATGTACGACAGGCTCGAATCCTCGCGTGCTCGACTTCTTCGTGGTCTCGCGCGTGTTACAGCGCGGCTCTAGTGTTCGGGTCCTCGCCGCCGTCGGCGCGGAGGACCGCGAGCCTGTCGTGCTCGCGCTGCTGGGCGCGTAGCAGACCCCGCAGCTCTCGCGCGTCAGGGCGCCGCAGACATTCCCGTGTGAATGGGCCGCGGGATGCTGCCTGCCCAGTGATCGGTGGGAGGCTGTGGAGAACCTCTGGAGGCCCTGGACTGGTTTCGCCGCCGCGATTCATCGGGAGTTCCAGGAGATCTACCAGGCCCCGGCGAGCAGGGCCGGCAGTGCCTGGGGCGAGGCGCGGCGCTGGCGAGGCGCAGGAGGGCGCCGTGCCCGCGCCGGCCTCTGCGCCCTCGCACCTCGCCGGTTGCTATTTGGTTCCGTGGGCTCGCTCAGACTTGCGACGAGCTTGCCAAGTTCCGGGGCTCGGACCGTCGAGCGGCCGCTCAGCCGCGGCCAGGCAGCACGTCGCGTCAGCAGGTGAGCTTCCTGCCGACATTGTTGGAGGCTGGAGCGCGCCACTTCGGTGCGCTCCCAGTTTAGATTGGTCTGTCGCCTCCTTTCTGCGCGCGGAGCCGCAGGCGCGTGCCGCGTCCGACTATCACGAGGAAGCCGCCGAGCGAAGGAGAGATCAGGAGTGGGCGGCCTGGCTTCGCAGGCGCAGCAACGCTGGGGGCGAGGCCCTCTATGCCATCCGTTAGCCCCCACACCCCCCTGGCACTCCAGCCCCGCCATCGCCGATGAACGCGCGCTTCTGGCTGCGCGCGCTTGCCAAGAACAGGAGATGCAGCTGCCCGCGGAGGAGTGGGGTTCGTCTTGGATGGTGGGGGGAGGAGGAGGATCTTCTGCAATGGCCTGAAGACATGGGGCCACCGCTTCCCGAATTTAGCTTAGACGACCTGCGTCGCTAGTCGAAATGTTCCAAGCCGGCCTCGGGCGCGGGGTTCGATCAGGTCAGTCCGCGTCAGCAGCTCGAGCGGCGAGGGCTAGAATGCTTGCGACAGGTCATCTGGTTGCTCTTCGAAGGTTCTCCGTGTTGGCCCGACATGTGGAACGACGTGTTTTCCTCGGCGCGCGCGCTGGAGGGCCGCGACCCATGGCGTTGCCGCGCGCGTGGGCTCGGGTGCAAGGGCGCCTGCGCAGGCCCTTGCGCCGCGCATGGCAGCGAGATAACCTTCGTGACTGCCAGTGGTCTACGTCGCTGAAGGGGTCGGGGCGTCTCGTCTGGTCCCGAGCTGCCTTCGCGGAGTGGGTTGTCAGGGCGGCGCCGCGGGCAGGGGCCGTCTTGCTTGACCTTCGCAAAGCATCGTGCGCGGCGTTCTGCTGGATGCGGCTCGGAAATCCGGATTTCCGATGCGACGGCTGCGCCTGCTGATCGCGGTGCGTCGTTCGCCGCGTGTGCTCGAATGTGCTGGCTTCAGCTCCCTGCCCATCGAGACTCAGGCCGTGCTAGCTGGCTGCCAGTTCACCGCTTGTCCGTTAGACAATGGTCCAAATGGTCCTCCTTGTCCGTTAGACAACGCGCGGGTTGCCATCCTTCGGCAGGCTTCGGGGTGAAGTTCAGCAAGGGGCCGTCGTGGGCGATTTCGGTATCCGCGAGGTGGGGCCCCGCGACCAAGCAAAGCAAGGGCTGGTAAAATCCGGTGTGCTGCCGCGCGATGAGTTGCCGCAGTGCGCCTTCCTGTCAGCCGCCCCAAGAGTAGAGTTCTTGCGTCCTGCTTCGCGTTGAGGCGCGACCGCCGCCGCCCCCCGCTCTCGTCGAGCCCTGGCCGTGCAGTCTGAGAGGAACCTCGGGGTGGAGTGCGCTGCTGGCGGGGCCATCGAGCGCTCCGCCAGGAAGTGGCGCAGGAAGGCCGCCGTCGTCAGACAGCGCAATGCTGTCTCGCTTGCTTGCCAGGTGCGCAAACGAGTCTCCCGCCTCGTGGTTCGAGCTGCCGCCGGGGCCTTCGCGCCGCGCGGGTCGGGGGCCACGGTCAGCTCGAACGCCGCGCCGCGGCCAGATTTTTGTGCAGGCAAGCGTGCAGAGCCAGATGCGCAGCGGTCGTGGCGTCACATTGCTGCTCCAGCTGATAGGTGTCAAGCGCGTCGACCAGGCCTGCGCTCTTAATCTTAATATTGCCCCCCGCATGGCCTCCGCGGTTTGGGATTCCTGGGTCCCGCGGGGCCTCGTGGAGGCTGGCCTCCGCGGGGGCCCGCCGAGCTCTGGGCAGGCACCATTCGCCTTGGAAAGCCGCCCGTCGGCCTTTCGCTCCTTGTGTTGCCGCGACGCAGTGGCTGGGCTGCAGCATGAGCGACTCGCGCGCTTCTCCAATCGAGCTGTTTCTCAGATGCATCGGGCATGCGCTGGCGATTATTGCGGTATTGTGGATGTTTGGTGTCGGCGCAGAGTCGCCGAGCATCTCGACCAGCTTGTTTTCGAGCGAGGGCCCTTTCGATTCGTGGCGCCCATCCTAGCGGGCATGCGCGGGCTTTCGCCGCGCGTGGAAAAAACACTCGCTCTTCGGCTTCCCCAGTGCGTGGGGAAAGGGGGGGGGGGGGCAGTCGCTGGCCCCTGCCAGGGTGCGTCAAGCTCTCGCAAGGTGACACAATCAGATCGCGCCGATGGCCCCCCCTTCGAAGTTTTGGCCAGGGTTGAGGGGCCCTTCTCCCATCCCCCTTTTATTCGTGCGCAGGCGGGGGAGGGGGGGCGCAAACGACCCAGTGCAGTAATGCAACTGAGAAGATGACTTACAATCGCGTTGAACTTTGGGAGACTCACGACAATGCACATTTTCACATTAGGAAGAGTGAAACGAACAGTGTTACTGCGACGAACAGTAATCATGCAACACAGCGAAAGCATGCCGTTATGAAGAATAATGGTAGTAGTTCGCTGGTATATTACAAGCGCCAATTCGAATGAACATCAGGCGTAACGCGAATACTAATCAGACGAATGATAATAGTGATAACAAGCAGAAGGGTTCAACTATTTCGAATAACGGCCTATACGACCACTCTTCGGGTGATAAGGGGGCTCGGGGGGAGGGGGGGGGGGGGGGGCGTCTCACTCGATCGGTCTCATTCTCGATCTCATTATCGATCTCACGATCGGTCTCGCTCGATCGATCTCACTCGGTCGATCTCGCAATCGGTCTCACTCGATCTATTCCATTCGATCGATCCCACAATCGATCTGCCGATCGGTCTCACAACCGAGTTCATTATCGATCTCATTACCGATCCCGCAATCGATCTCACATTCGGTCTCGCTATCGATCGCACTATCGATACCACAATCGATCTCACAAGTAACGCCATCACCATCATCATCAACATCATCGTCATCCGCGCCAGCATCGTCATCATCTGGGCACTATCATCATGATCGCGTCATTACCGTCATCATCGACATCATCGGCATCACCATCATCACCATAGCCGTCATCATCGGGACACCATCATCGTCACCATCATCATCATCAACGTCGTCATCATCAGGTCACCATCATCATCATCGGAACACCACCGTGCATCATTACCAGCCTCATCTCATCATCATCATGAACATCATCATCATCACCGGGGCACCATCATCAACATTGGCACAATAAACAGCACCAACCTCATCATCATCGGGACACCATCATCATCGTAATCGCTCGCAATACAGCCATCATCATCGCCATCTTCGGGACACCATCATCTTCATCATCACCAACACCAGGATCATCATCACAATCATCGGGCCACCATCATCAACATCATCATCATCACCTCATCATTGTTCGCATCGCCATAATCACCATCAGTGGGACACCACCATCGTCATCATCATCATCAACCTCATCATCATCGGGACAACACCATCATCATTACCATCATCATCAACACCATCATCATCAACCTCATCAGTATCGGACACCATCATCATCAGCTCCATCATCGTCATAAACTCATCATCATATCATCACCATCAACATCACCAGGGTCATCAACATCATCATCATCATCATCATCATCATCGGGACACTACCATCATCATCATCAGGAACATCATCATGATCAATATCTTCAGCATCATCATCACCGTGGCACCATCATCATCACCACCATCACCATCATCATCATCACCATCATCATCATCATCGTCGTCAACATGATCATCATCATCATCATCGTCATCATCGGGACACCATCATCATCACCATTTTCATCATCAACATCATCGACACCATCATCATCATCATCATCGCCATCATCATCATCATCATCGGGACACCGACGGGACACCGACGGGACACCGCGCGCCACCGGACGCTGGGAGGGAATCGTCTGGTCTGGCCGCGCCTCAGCCACATCGGGACACCGGCGGGACACCGCGCGCCACCGGATGCCGGAAGGGAATAATTTGGTGTGGCCGCGCCTCAGCCACAAGAGACTTTCTTCTCGCCCGCCCATGCAGCTTCGCCTCGCCCGCACGCACGAGGCGCACGAACGCGAAACCGAAATCGATTTCCCGGTAGGGGGGCTGTCCGTTCCACTTCGATCTCACCCCCTCACCTCCAACTGTAATGCGACGCTGTAGAATTATAGTGGTATGAAGAAAGACTTGAATCCGAATCATAACGCCAATACTACGCAACAAATAACAAGAACGATGGCTATTTCCATGAGCACACCCAAAAAACTGGCATTACTATCAGCTTTGCTATTGTCATTATTCATGCTACTAGTAGTACTTATAATAACTTTGGAACGACTATTAATTCAACCAAGATTAATGACACTAGTGATATGAAAAGTACGAATTATACTACGAATAACACGACTGATCATCATACTAGGAATAACACGACAAACGTAGATAGGGAGGAACAGGAGGAGGAGGAGGAGGAGGAGGAGGTTCAGGAGGAGCAGGAGGAGGGGGGAGGTGGAGATGAAACAACCACGTGGAAGATGCCGAGGAGGAGAAAGAGGAGGCGGCGGCGTCGGCGGTGGTGGTGACGAAGACGACGCTGATGACGGCGACGACGGCGACTGGGCTCAGCGCTTCGCAGAGCCGCCCCCGCCTGTCCGCGCGCGCGGGCGCGCGAGAGCGCCGTTCTACGGTGGCCTGGATGGCCGCTCTGCGCCACCGTCCGAGAGGCGCGCCAGTTGGGGGCCGGGGTGGTGTGTGTATGTGTGCGTGCTTGTGCTCTCCGATGGCCTCTGCGGCTCGTCCGCCTTGATCCTCCTCCTTCACCCGTCCTCCCTCCGCGGTCCCCCAGGATCCTAGTAGCCTTCGGCCCATCCCGCCACCGCGCCTGGATTGTAGGTGCGAGGCCTCTCGGGCCTTTTTGGCTCATTCTGGGGCGCTCGTGGCTTCGAACAAGTCATGCGGCAAGCGCTGGGGAACAATGGGAGGCACGTTGGGAACATTGGGAATTCGAAAAGGTGGAAATTTGAGAAGTATTTTGTCTTGGGGACAGGGCTGAGGACTCAACTCGTGCCTCGCGGCACGGTGGCGCCATGAAAAAGGCCCAAACCGAGTTGTTGTGGCCCTTCGCAGAAGGCGACTAGCTCCTTCATGCTTGGGCCGCGCTGCTTCTGGGTGGACTCGCCCATGCAACATTACCATTTCCATTTCAATGTCCTCCTCCGCCTCGCTGCTACTTGAGTGGCTGCGAACTGCGCAACTGTCGTCGCCTCTTTCGTGGGCTCCTCGGAGGCACGGCGGGGCCGGGTGCCACGCGCACCCAGCCGAGGCTTCGCTGCTCGCTGGGTGTCTGCGAACTGCGCAACTGGCGCTGATTTCGTGAGCGCCTGGTAAGTCCAGTGGGGTCGAGTGCCACGCGCACCCATTTGAGACCTCGCTGCTCCCTGGTCGCTGCGAACTGCGCAACTGTCGGTGGTTCTATGGGCTCCTGGGAGGCACGGCGGGGTCGGGGCCACGCGCACCCAGCAGAGGCGTCTCTGCTCCCTGGGTGGCTACGAACTGCTCCTGGGCGGTCCAGCGGAGTCGGGGGCCACGCGCACCCATTTGAGACCTCGCTGCTCCTTGGAAAGCCGCGAACCGCGCAACTGGCGCCGCTCTCGTTGGCTCCTGGGAGGTTCAGCGGAGTCGGGGACCACGCGGATCAAGCCGAGACTTCCGGAGGCTACGAAGTGCGTAATTGTCGGCATTTTCGTAGGCTCCTGGGAGGCACGGCGTAGGTGAGGGCAGCGCAGATCGCGCACATCTGGCGATGTCCTCTTCCGTATGGAGCGTTCAGGCAAATATTCGCCTCGCGTGGAGAAGGGGTTGGGTACGTCTCGGGTGATTATTTGGTTGGTGGGCCTGCACGCAGCAGACAATATGCCGGCACCCCTGCCATCCCTGTCAAAAGCCAATGCAATATGAGTGCGAGGCGTTCGCGTATGATCCAGATTTTGGTGCACAGTTTATTTGGTGTGGTTTTTGGAAACGGATGGTTTGGGGGTGTTGGCATTGCACGCGTCAGGCTATATGTTGCCCCCCCCCCGTTGCCCCTATCACAAATCAATATAATGTGAGCTCGAGACGTCTACGCATGATCCAGATTTTGGTGCAAGAGGGCATTTTGTAGTGTTTTTGTTATGGTTGAGGGGTGTCGGCATTGCACACAGCAGGTGCTGTGCTGCCCCCCCCCCCGCCGTCCTGTCCAAAAACTAATGCACAAAGATCGCGGGGCGTCCAGGCATGATACAGATTTTCGTGCAAAGTGTATTTTTCCTTGTCTTGTGTAAGCTATGGTGGGAGGTGTCGGCCTGCGCGCAGCAGGCAGCCAGCGTCCCCGCCGTCCCTTTCAAAAACCGATGCAAAGTGGTCGCGGAGCGCCCGCGCATGCTGCAGATTTGGAGGCAGAGTGTACTTCGCAGTGTTGTTAGACAGGGATGGTGGGGTGTGTTTTGTCATCTGTGCCCTCACGGGTCCTGGTTGGCTGCCGGTCGGGTGGGGGAGGTTATTGTTTACTTTGCGCTGATTTTTTTACTTATACCTTGTATCGGGGTCTTTGGACAGCATGACATTGGCCTCTCACCCCAGTGGCTTACCTGCTGTGGGATGTTACCCTTTCCACGGACGGGTGAAACGGCCTGTGGCAGCAGTTCGCAGGCCTTACTATAGTATTCGTTTCGGCAGAGGCCACGCAAACGCTACTGTGCGTAGTGGCCACATCACTTACAAACCCCATACCCTGGGCGGGTCACTAGCTGGTGCCTTTGAAGGTGGAGCAGGCTTTATCCATCTTTGCCTGCCTGCTTCTCCTCTTTCCCACAGCCGTTTTGGCTCAGGTCGTTCGGCACAGTTTCCCCCAAACCAGTTCCCAGTCATCTGCTCGCGGGGGGCGTCTGGGCGTCGCGTAGTGGGGTCGATGCATGGAGGGACAGCGAGGGTGGCAGAAAGGGGCCCTTTAGGGCCCCTGAAGGGGCCCTTTAGGTCCCAATATTGGACCTGTAAGGCTCGAAAAGTAGACCTTTCTTCCACCCCCAATGTATCGCTCCCCCGTTAAGCGACGCCCAAGGCGTCTGCCCGTCTGCCCTCTGCTTACCCCGCACTCATGGGCGAGGAGGAGGTCGCCGCCCTTGTCGTGGACAACGGCAGCGGCATGTGCAAGGCTGGCTTTGCGGGCGACGACGCGCCACGCGCTGTGTTTCCCTCCATAGTCGGCCGCCCGAAGATGCCAGGGATCATGGTCGGCATGGACCAGAAGGACAGCTACGTTGGCGACGAGGCTCAGAGCAAGCGTGGTGTCCTTACCCTGAAGTATCCAATCGAGCATGGCATCGTGACCAATTGGGACGACATGGAGAAGATATGGCACCACACTTTCTACAACGAGCTCCGCGTTGCTCCGGAGGAGCATCCCGTGCTTCTCACAGAGGCGCCACTGAACCCCAAGGCGAATCGCGAGCGCATGACGCAGATCATGTTCGAGACCTTCAACGTGCCTGCGATGTATGTCGCGATCCAGGCAGTTCTCTCGCTGTACGCCTCTGGACGCACCACGGGGATCGTCATGGATTCTGGCGATGGCGTATCGCACACTGTGCCCATCTACGAGGGCTACGCTCTGCCGCACGCGATCCTGCGCCTGGATCTGGCAGGGCGTGACCTCACGGAGCACTTGATGAAGATCCTTACTGAACGTGGCTATTCCTTCACAACCACGGCTGAGCGCGAGATCGTGCGCGACGTCAAGGAGAAACTTTGCTACATTGCGCTCGATTTTGACACCGAGATGAAGGTCGCCACAGAGAGCTCGGACAAGGAGAAGACGTATGAGCTTCCTGACGGAAATATCATAACTGTCGGTAGCGAGCGCTTCCGTTGCCCCGAGGTTCTCTTCCAGCCCAGCTTCGTGGGCAAGGAAGCCAGTGGCATTCACGACACGACCTTCCAATCGATCATGAAGTGCGACGTCGACATTCGGAAAGACCTGTACGCTAACGTTGTGCTGTCTGGTGGCACCACCATGTTCCCAGGCATCGGCGAGCGGATGACCAAGGATCCCTTTAGAGGCACCCAGACACTCACTCTATCCCCCCTTGAGTACATTCGATCTCCCATGGAGAGGCATGTGTACAAATCCTCCCTCTAGCACGAGGAGGTGTACACAGAGCTGCAACACAAAATGTTTGCTGTGGAGAGGTCGTGGCCGCTCCCGTTGGGTATGGTGAGTGCCTGAGTACATCTGAGGGGGGAAGGAACTGTCGGCATTAGCGCCTTCCACGATGAAGATCAAGGTCGTGGCTCCGCCCGAACGCAAGTACTCAGTGTGGATCGGCGGGTCCATCCTTTCCTCTCTGAGCACCTTTCAGCAGATGTGGATTTCTAAGGGGGAGTATGACGAGTCTGGCCCCACTATCGTTCACAGGAAGTGCTTCTGAGGATTCGCCTTAGAGTGGGGAGCGAAAAGGGTGCACCCACTGTGCACCTACCGCGCCCCCTCCCTCCCGCAGCCCCCTCCCGCCCCTCCTTCCCCTCTTCATCTCTCCTCGCCCCTCTTCCTTGCCAGGAGGGCGGGATAGGTGAACAGTCCCTGCACCCCCTCAAGAATGTCTTGTAGACGGCCTAGCTGGAACTGCCAGCGCGTGATGGATGGAGGCGAAAAGCTTGTTCTTCGCTCCAAGGATCACGTCTGGCGGCGATAGCATTAATTCGCGGTGTCTGCATTGGAGGTCGGATCCTTAGATGGTTCCGCGGTGCGGAGGGGCGGCTGGGAATGGAAGTGGAAGTGGAACATCGACGACTTTGTCCGACGGAATCAGTTTCCCGATGTGGAATTCAAGTTCGTTGCTTCCGGTTTTTGTCGCCCCCCCCGCCCACCAGCACCATCTCCGGTTCCAGTCTGTTGCGTTTGGGGCTTTACATTTTGACTAGGGATTTTTGCGTCGCGGCAGGCGATTCGACGACAACGCGCGCGCTTGCGGCTGATAGATGCAAACGGTGACTCGGCCTTCGAAGGGGTGGCCACGAGATTGTACTTCACACGCGTGCGAGAGACCAACAAGAAGGTCGCTTGGGCAATGCTCCTCTTTCTCCTCAGCCTCGTCCTCCTCCTCCTCCAAAGGCATGAGACGACAAGAACATTCCGCGGAGGTCCGCGCGGGTTTCTTGGATCTATTCGATCACCCTGCCACACCCCTCCCCCATCGCGCGGAGCTCGATGGGGCTGAGGCTGGAGATGCCGCCCAGGGGTGGCGGGGTAAGGGTCAGCGATGACCCCAAAGATCCATCCACGCGGACCTCCGAAAGTCTACGTTCAAGTAGTCTTTTGGTCTTCTATCCTCCATTCCACTGGCTCACAAGCTCCTGATGGAGGATCCCATTCCCTCTTTCGATGAGGTCCTATCATACTATTCCCTTCCTCTTGCTCGTTTGCCGTTGCGCACACGCGTGCCCCGAGGAACCCGTCGTGTCAACTGCACATGGGGAGAGTGAACTCGGCAGCAGGCATGGCACGAGCGAGGTAGCAGAGAGCGACGAGCCAGTATGGAAACAAGATCAGGTTGACCCAAAAGGGGGTCCAGCAAAACAAGGGTGGTGCAATAGATTTGGTGCAATTGATTTGTGGGGTTGTACTTGGGGCGTGCAATACATTCCAGTGCGCAAGTGTATTGCTGGATTTTCGTGTGCAGTACATTCGCTGCAACCCAATGAAAAGCAATTTGCAAAACAATGCAACCCAATGCAAACCAATGCATTTGCAAAACAATTGCCCCAAATCTATTGCACAATCCCTACGGGCTGAACCCCCTGGTGGGTCAACCAAGCAAAGTACGATGAGATGACGACCTGACGGGCAAGTGAATCTCCCCGTTGAGGCGGAGTGTCCCGGTGCGTCTACGCAGCAGCGAAGCAGTGCAGGCTGCTGAGACCAAGGCCTTAGTTGTTCAAGCTGCAACTCCAGCCAGCCCAAACGTGATCACGTGGAGAAGTGGTCAGTCGCCAGGGGTGCTGTGCAAGGTTGCCCTACCGCAGCCTAAATCTGCGCAGCCTGGGAGTTGTCGAAGGCAGTCTCTGCGGCACAGTCGACGATGCTACGGCAGCAGGCGGCACGCCTAGTGGCAAACCGCCAGCACAGGTCGGCGCGAGCACACGGCCAGCAAGAGGTGCGGCGTCTGCGGTGGGTCCATCCGCGACGCGCATAGCTGCCCAACGAAGAAGGCGCTTGGCGACCTATGGGCGCTGCAAGCGAGGGGCTCGACGGTCAAAGGGAACCCCGATCAAGCAGTGTTGCGGTGTTAGGCCGCAGGAACGACCCATGAGCGGCTGGCCGGAGATCGTGCTTAAGACCACGACCAACCCGCAAATCACATGCATCTAGTGAATGTACCCGCAAAGGCCGTTGCAATGTGTCCCCCTTTGCCATTGTGTGTCCTTGCCCTTGTGCGGTGCGTGCCATCCCTCTCCCCTTCGCTTGGCCCCCCCTCACTGGCCCTCCGTCGGTCCGTCTGTCGGCCCAGTCTGTCCTTTCCTGTCGTCCTCCTTCTTTCTCCCCCTTCCCTTCTCGCTCCTCGGCTCCTCGCTCCCTTGTCCGTTTCTGCCCCTTGCCTGGCCCGCGTTTCTTTGTCGGCCCGTCCAAGTGTCCGAATAAGAGCCGCGGCGCCCCGCACTGCTGGCGAAAAGGCAGGCGTGGAATTTAGAGCGCCATCTTCCTGCAATTGTGCACATGTGTATAGCTACTCGGACCCCATCACATGTTACAATGGATCCCTGGTCGTTGATTGGGCCAGGTAGTTCGTGATTGGTATCATGATATAGCAGTGCCAGCCCCCCACGTGATGGTGTGAGTCTAATTTGCCACCATCCCACCGCGGATCGCGCAGTCGTTATCAGTCTTGCACGTCCGCGCGCACTGTGTATACAGCAAGTCGTGCGGCAGACCATCTTCGCAACTATGCGCTCGCCGCACTTCGCTACATGCCGTTGCAAAGTTACCGACGTTGGTGGCGAACTTTGGCCAACAGCTAACTTCTGCCGTCTGTGCTGCAGCCGAGGACAGGGGTTCATCCCGGTCGGCAAAAGACACTGGAGCCAGAAGCATTTCGCATTCCTTAGCCATACACCAGGCTCGCAGGGCGTGATGATGACATGGATGGCTCCAAACACCCAAAAACGCGGATCCTCGAGCCCTCGATCTTCGTTTCTCGAACTTCGGTCCTCGAGACCGCGAACCGCCGACCTCGGGGAGGCCAGGAGAGCAGGAGGAGGAGGAGGAGGAGGAGGAGGAGGATACTGTCAGATTACACAGCCTTTGAAAGTGGCTGGCCCGTGTACGATTGCATGGAAATCAAGAAAGATTGTCACCTGGAGCCGTTGCTGATTGGACAGTTGCCATTAATTGGGAGGCGGTGCATGGCTCATGATCAATGTAGCCTGATGGTCTAGGATGATGTGGCAGCAGGTATGGAAGCAAGGAGCAGGAATGGCAAAATAGGAATCGGGGAGGATGGAGTGGACAGGAGAGGGAAGGGGGACGAGAAGAGAGAGAAGAAGAGGGAAGCAAGGGGAGAGAGCAAAGGGAGCAGCAGCAACACGAAACGTAGCAACGATGGAATTGCACTCAATTGCTCCCCACAAGCGTAGACGTGAGATGTCTCGAAAGCGTAGATCGGCCACGCGGCAGGGACACATTAGCTTGCACGGAGCCGTGTGGCGGAACCCCCATTACACTCGCAAGTGCGCTGAGGTGGTGCGCAGATGCGGATTCAAAGTATTTGCGGGGAAGCTCGCAAGCTCGTTTCAAATGTAACGGAGTCACGTGGCGATGACAGGCAGTGACAAACATATAGTACGTTTCCCAGGGATGTTGGCCTGACGTGCCCTTACAAAGAGCCAATGGAGGGCGGACATCGGTTAGCTGCTCAGATCCCCTGTTCGTTCCTGCAGGCTTGCGGGGAGTTTGGCCTGACGTCCCCTCTCGCAGAAAGGACGCGAGCTGTGGGAATCTCGGCCATCTCTTGCGCGTGGTAGCAGGACGAGACGGGAGGCACCAGCACACCGGGGAAGGAAGATGGCAAAGGCGGATCAACCGGCGGAGGCAAGACGCGAGGAGGGCAGACAGTGGGTATGCGATGATATTGGCAACAGTCTTATGAATCCAACCTTGGGCACGTAGGCTCTGTTGGCGCCCCCACTGGGGACCGTGCGTCCTAATTTGCATAATACAGACGTTTTTCCAACTCCATAACCCACAGGGGAAAAACTGTTAAGGATGAGAGTCCCGATTGCAACACGCCTGGGCGAAAAAAGAAGGTTCATCCATGCCCTGCTTTGCATTGTCTTGGCACCGCACTGTGTAGAAGCAGCACGAGACAACTCATGGACGATACGACATGATGGGACGTTGCAGCCAAAGCGGGAACAACAACATATTGACATGCAGATTTTACCGCTAGCCACAATGCTACACGCGTGGCGGCTAATATTGAGTGACATGCGCGTATCCTCAGGCGTGCTGTTGCTATCTGGGCTGACCTCCCGCCTAATAAGAGAAATCATTTCAAGCTAAATTGCGCGGGGTAGTGGGATGAGCTGGAAGGCACAAAAACACGAGACAGAGCGAGAGGAAAGCACGGGGAGAAAGCAAAGAGTGCGGCAGCAATGATGCGAAACGGCCGTACGATTGAAGCGCTTTCTACAGCTCCGTACCAACCCCAGACGCGAGGCACGAAGACACAATGTGAGTACAAGTTCACGGGTTATTTTGGAACCGGAGCCGCTTAAGAGAGAAATCAATCGGCCACGCGGCCGGGACTCGTTACCGTGCGCTGCATAGTGGGGAAATGTGTGTCGGCATCTCCATTCTATTCGCGAATGCGCTGTATTCGTTGGTGCACAGTTTGGCTCCAAGGCTAGTTGTGAGGAGGTCCACCAGCACATTCCACATGTCACGGAGACGGTGCGGTCAGCGTTGATGTACAAACGCGGCGCTTTGCATCAATGGCAGAGCTGTGTAGTGAGAACGAGCTGCGACACGCGATCGCCAAAGGGGCGGCCACGCTGGGCAGGACGGGGGACGTAGAGCTATGAACATCGGGGTAGCAAATGGAAAAGACGAATGGGGCAGCAGACCGCAGGGGCAGGAACCGAAGAGGACAAGAAGGGACAAGCGAGCGACACGCACAAGAAGTTATGAAACCCAGGTTTGGGGCACGTGGGCACTGGCAGGCCCGAGCCTTGTAGGCCCGAACCCTGGCCATCCTAATAGCTGAAAGGGCTATCGGAATGAGCTGAGAGAGAACAAGGGCACCCGGGTAGCAAGGTGGCCAAGAAAGACGGGGAAGCAGCGGTGGAAGCAAGATGAAGGAAGGATTGCTGGTGACGCCTCAGCTCCCTAGCCTTTGGGGTGCCTGTGAGGGTGCTCGATGAGAGTGCAAGGGTC